TCCAACCAACCTAACATCCTGGTTCCCCTGGGACTCCAACCCAGAACCCTCCACCATGCCGCCGTGCTGTAATATATCTGTTTTAAATATCTGTTGTAAATACCTTGAAGATTTTACTTCTCAAATGTTATGTTTTTATACAAAGTTACTTTTATCTTAACTCATTGACTGCCAGCCATTTTCAGAACAGAGAGTCGCTCACTGCCAGAGTTTTTTGAGAATTTTGACAGATTTTTCAAGAGCCACAGAATAGTTTGTGCTTTGACTATGTAAACACCGAACACACCAAAAGAAAGAGGAGACTCTCTTCTATCATCAGGAAAAAAGATTTTGTTTCTACCTTATTCCGTTCTTCTTCGACGTGCGTCTCACCGGCGCCATTTCTCTCATAGCGAACCATTGCGTTTGTTTTTATTTGCTTACAATCTATGCTCATCTCCCATCAAAAGTGGCACAGCTACCTAGAGGGTAAATTTGTTACTACATACTCTGTCTAGAAGCCGATATTTACGGAAAAACTTTCGCGGATCGTCCCCCAAGTCACTCGCAATTGAAAAACATAAAAGACGTCTATAGACGTCTTTGGCAGCGAATGAGTTAAAGATCATAAACAACGTGAATAAATAAATAAACAGAAGGGGCGTAGCATTTCCGGATACAACGTTTTAGTATTGATACTTTTTTGTGTATCGATACTTTTGACAACCCTAACAGACACTCAAAATGTTGTATTTGATTTATTTCAGACTCTTAATCTGCTGAACCCCCCCCAGATGTTCATTTTATGGATAAACTACAACCACCTGAGGCTTTGTCACCTAGGTTTTGGGTTTTCAAAAGTATTGATACTCCAAAAAGTATCGATACTTAAAACATTGTATCCGGATACGACACTCAATATTAAAAGTATCAATAACACCCCCCCCCCCTTCTCTTTATTTATTTACTTAGATTGTTTATGATAATTAACGTGACGTTAGCCTTGAATTGTGAGCTGTGGCTAATGGCTAATAATAACACAGGTCAGTTTGAACCAAAGACTCTAACCTGTGGAAACTCAGTTCCATTTTGGGGTCTTTGTTTTTATCCTTGTGGTATCCAAAATGGTTTTGAGTTGAAAATGTTAGTATCATGACAACCCTAATACACAGAAATTCGAGAAGTTGTTTGATTTAGTTCAGTTTGTGTTTGATTTAGATGTTCATCTAATGGATAAACTACAACCATCTGAGGCTTTTTCACTTAGGTTTTGGATTTTCAAAAGTACTGATAGTCAAAAGTATCGATACAAAAACGTACTTACGTTGTTTATGATCATTAACATGATGTTAGCCTTGAATTGCTAGCTGTGGCTAACAGCTAATAATAACACGACAATATTAATACTTCATAACATCAGTAACAGGTCAGTTTGAAACCAAAGACACTAACCTGTAGAAACTCAGTTACATTTTGGGGTCTTTGTTTTTATCCTTGTGGTATCCAAAATTAGATCGAGTTGAAAATGTTAGCATCAATAGACACTCAAAATGTTGTTAGATTTAGTTCAGTTTGTGTTTGTTTTAGATGTTCATCTAATGGATAAACTACAACCGTTTCAGGCTTTGTCACTTAGGTTTCTGTCCTTGTTTTGTTTTCTACTCCATGCCTCCTGTAGGGTGGAGCCATTAACCGGGGGGTGGGGGTGGGTACTTACTTCTTGTTGAAGGCGGCCAGCAGCCGCGGGTCAAGAATGTTCTCCTGAGGCTCCCAGCTGTTGTGCCTGAAAGGAAGCAGGAGCCGGGTTCAGATAAAGTGATAAAGTTTAAAGTTATTTATCTACTTACTTAGTTGTCAGACTCATGTTGAACAGGGATTTACTCTGATAACAACTTAATGGTTAGGACTCAGACCTGTGGGTTAGCAGATGCTAATGCTGATGCTCGTATGGGATTGAATTGAAAAATAAAACTGGATCTGGATTTTGGATCTGCATTTTTCCTGCCGGCCGATAAGCAGATTTTTGGGAATATCGGCGGGCGATCGGATCCAGATATCGGATCGGGACCAGCGTAGTCTAAACAGCAGCTCTGGAGTTCAACACAAGCTAACTGACGGCTTTTATGGGCTTCAATCAGCCCAAAAAGTCTCACGTCACCCCTCTGATCACTGAGCTTCACTGGTTACCCCCGGTTACCCCGTAGTTACCCACATCAAACCCAGGTCCCTGATTCTGGCCTACTAAGTGCTTAAGGGTCTGGTTCCCGTCTACCTGAACCCTCTGGCAAAGGCTCATGTCACAACTCCAGTCCCTCCGGTCAGCAACAGATTGTGGTCCAGCAAAGCTACAAAACAGTTTTAAAGACCTAAAACAGCTTTAAAAGCCACAAAAACAGCTTTAAAAGTCCCAAAAAACAGCTTTAAAAGCCCCAAAACAGTTTTAAAAGCCCCAAAACAGCTTTAAAGCCCCCAAAACAGTTTTAAAAGCCCCCAAAACAGCCCAAATAGCCACAAAACAGCTTTAAAAGCCCCCAAAACAGTTTTAAAAGCCACAAAAACAACTTTAAAAGCCACAAAAACAGCTTTAAAGCCCCCCAAAACAGCTTTAAAACCCCCCAAAACGGCTTTAAAACCCCCCAAAACACTTTTAAAAGCCCCAAAACAACTTTAAAGCCCCCAAATACAGGTTTTAAAGCATCAAATTCAAGTCCCTGATGCGTACAGCTCCCATCCAGATTTAAGGACCCAGGAGTCCAGGACCAGGATTCAGGACCAGGATGTGTTTTTCCAAGATGGAGGAACGACCTACCAGGCTCTAGAGGAACTTTCTATCTTTAGAAACTCTCAAAGACCCCCCCCCTCTCCACAGAGCATCTCCTATCCCGACCCCTCCCCAGACCTCTGGACCCTCTACTCCTCTTTCTGAGCTTCCCTCTCTCTCCCTTTCTGTCTCCACTGACTCTGACCGGGGTTTTCCTCTGGAGAACTTATTCTCATGTTGATGATTACTGTAAAACTGCGTCTACTTTGCGAGTCGCTTTGGATAAAAGCGTCTAAAAGCAGGAACATAAGAACTCTTTAGAGCTTTCCCAAACGGATAACCCGGGTTTTCTGGGATCTGGAGACCAGAAGCTCCATCACTTGCAACTTCTCAGGTTCCACCGAGCAAATATGGCAAATATTTTGGGGGATTTCAACCTCAAAATGAGTTTAAAAAACCTTCCATTTGTTACAAAAGTGCCCATTTTTTCTTTCCTCTGGACCCAAAAGGCATCTGAGAACCGGGAATCTGAGAGGCACAGTTAGAATAATCCACCCCCACCC